AATTTTAATGCAACGCCGGGCCTGATTATGATTCCCTATCAGGGCCCTGGTAGGAAAATATCTACACGGGATATATTCGGATGTGAGTCCCGAATATTCAAGAACACCAGGAGGACGAAAATGCTGTTTTGTTGAGGATCTGTCAAAATACAGCTGACATCAATTTTCCTACTGACTTTTCACATCAATCAAATCAACATAGGATAGTTCAGGAATTTACGTTACCAACGGTTGCCTATTGATTATCGATCGTGTATAGTGTATTGAATATTAATTTCGAGTTTGACTCGTCGGCCATTTTACTCTCATTCTCATTCTGGTGTTCGTAGAGTCAAGTAGTTCTCTTTTTGTTTTGTGAAATAATTTTGTAATTAAAATTAATAAAATAATTTTTGTCTTTATAATGTTGTTATCTATTGTCCTCAAAGGAGTAGAAATCAAGGGCTGTAAAATTTTATAAATAAAAAAAATTATTTATTGTGGGACGAGGCGATGATCGTCGTCGACATCATTTAAATTTGGACAATGAGCCCCAATTATTTAATTTTAAAATCTCTTCCTTCTGAATCGATCTCATTAATATTATTATTGAAATTTATAACTGATAATATAAAATTATGAATGTTGTCTTTCGGCCTTCTACCAATTTCTTATTTTTCGTTTGAACTAAAATTAAAAATTTCAAAGATAATTAGCAATCAATTGCAATTCGTGTTTTGACCTGTTTATACGTTGTTATTTTACCGTCAATGGAAATTTTGAAATTTTAAAAACTAAATAGATTCGAAATAGATTCATGAGTACCTATCTAATCCAATATTTCTAATTGGTTCGAGAATTCGCTATTGAATAAATTTTACTGTGTTAAATAGGGTGATTATTAAAAATTTTTAATTTAATTTAAAAAAATTGAATTTTTTAAAGTTTTATTTATAAAAATGTATAAAAATCTGAAAAAATTTGTAAAAGGAAAATAATATTTAAATAGAAAAATTATAATTTAAAAATATTTTAATTGTGTCTAAGCGATTTTATTACTGTTATACCTGCATTACGGGCTGTATTTAAATATACATTTAAATATTTAAATATCAAAGAGTGTAACTTTCGTCGAAGGTCAAAACAATATGGTAGGAAAATTCTAAAGATAATTCAATCAGTTGCAATTCGTGTATTGACCTGTTTAGACGTGTGGTCAAATCTTTTAATTCGCGAACCAAAACAATTTTAAAATATTAAAACTGATTTTTCTTTTTGTCATTTTAGTAAATTTTTTCTTTCGTGTGTGTTCGAAATTCTTAAAATCGCGATCGCTTAAATCTTTATAGAAAAATGTATTTTGTTTCATAATAATAATTCAAAAATGATTTCGGGAGTGTTCGAAAATTTTTTAAATCACGTGTATTTCCAGCACATCTCATCATCAAAAATGCTTGATTCATCGACTGTGGTTTAAGGTTAGAGATTTATATTTTTTTTTAAATAATAATTGAATCTAATTATTTTTTTTTTTAAATTAAAAAATATAACATTAATTTCTTTCTTTATAAAAATGTTGGTACCATTTTAAAACTAAAGAAATTATCTTTTAATAGCATTAAGTACATTTTTTATTTGGAAATTTGGGGCGCATGATTATATCCCATAAAAATTATTAGTTAAAATTTTCATTTTAAAGGAAGATTTCGACGCGATCGTTTGTTCGGCCATTTGCAATTTTAGACAAATAAAAATTCGGTTCCTAAAAATTCTGTTAATTAAAAATTCTATAAAAAAGAAATTTTAACAAATTTTAATTTTAAAAAATGAAAATTCGTCTAAAAAATAATTATATCTAATAAAATTGTTGAAAATGAAAATTCTATTTAACGATTTTTTTAGAATAATCATGCGCCCCAGAAATTTATATTTTTTATGCGCCTATGGAAAACCGGGAATTTTTGTCAATTAAATAAGGCTACAAAAATCTATTATTAGATTTTATCATTTTTATTACTTTTATCCAAACGGTAATTTTCAATTATATCCAAAAGTTGGAATTCGTAATTAAATTTCGAAAAAATAGCTGTACATTGCATCCTTTGGATGTTGACGCTTAGGGAGTTAATTTTACGCCTATAAGGAAGTTTATGTAATAATAAATCAATTTTGTAGTTGATTTTCAACTCCAAAAATTGTAATCCCAACTCTGGTTGACAATAATTTTCTACTTTTTTTTACAGCGTAGAATCGATTGCAATTATTTTATGCAAAAAAATCTTGAAGTTTCCAAAAAAAAGTTTTTAAGAATTTTTTTTATTTCTTCTCTTATTTGGTGATTTTTAACCATATTTTACTTTATCATTCTTCTTGTCCCGAACCGCGTGACAAATTTTCTGAAACGACCTCTATTCATAAACATTCCTAAACTTTGGGCATATATAACATTCCTCATGTAACGAGAGTCTAATTCAAATAGTGTTGATACAGCGGGGAAAGTTTTCCTCTTTGTGGTTGAATGAAACTAAACAGTTTTCAGCTAGTTCCAGCAATATATAGACAGGGTGGATTAAACAAATAGATGACCTCTATTGATTACGTGACACTATAATTTGAGGGATGACACAAACCCTGAGGTTTCATTAATTTTGGAGGACTTTGAATTTTCCTCTTTCACTGTATGTGTCATACCTTTTTTTTATTTTCCCAAAGGGTTAATAATATTATTTTTTACCGGGACTATTATGGAGAAAAATTGGTTTTTGTTGGTAAAATAAAATAAAAAAAAAATTGTTTTTCTTCAATTTAAACTTTTTTAATATTATTTTTTGGAAATAATTTTTAAAAAGTCATTATTATTATTAGGTATTATTATTACTATTGATAAGGGCAGTCACCACCTTCATTTTAATTTTAATTTTTTTTTTTTTTTTTAAATTTTTGACTACCCGTGTGGAAAAGTGATGTGGGCCCCCAGCGGGGGCCCTTATGGATCGCCTTCATGCCATGAGGGCCGCATATGGATGATCCATAGGGGCCCCTCATGGAAACGACATGCTCATCGATGAGGGCGCCCGCATGGGCGATCCATGAGGGTGCCCCTACGGGCGCCCTTATGGGCCCTCACGTTTGCCCTCATCTTGCCCTCAAGTTTGCCATAATGTTTTTTAATCAATAATATTAATAATAAAAGTTAATTAATAATAAATAAGCTTAAGTTATGAATAAATAACATATTTATTTAATAATTATTCAATTTTAAATTAAATTCTTACTCAAATTGAATTTATTAATTAACGTCCTAATTAATTAACTGTCGGATATAATTAAAAATAATAATAAATTAATTAATTAAAAAATTAAAAAATATGTAATTTATGCATACTATTAACGGATATTTTCATTTTTCAATTAATTTATACATAGAATTAATGATTAAACGCAAACCTGAGAAATAAATAAATCTAACGCATGGGGGGAATCGAACCTACGACCTACGGACTATGAGTCTAACGCTTTACCAACTACGCTACGCACGCTACTTCAAAACGAATGCTAACTTCTTGATGCTATTTAAACTTCAAAAATACCTAACAAAGAAAAGTGCTTAACATCATTTAGTTAAAGTTAAGATATTAAATTATATTTTCCAATCAAATGCAATTTATAAAATATAATCAATTATATGCTTTATGATTATTATCATGAATCATCTCAGGTGAATTTTCAAAAAAGTGTAAATATATTTTTATTAAAAACGCGTTTTTCGTTGTTTTGAATCATTGGAAACATTCATTTTTTGTTGATAAAAAAATATTTGATTTTTGGACTTAGAAAATTTTGCTAATCGATCATGAGGGCGATCCATGCGGGCCCCTACGGTGGCCCTCATCTATTTTGCCATAAGTGTGAGTGTTATTTTCAAAAAAGTGTAAATATATTTTTATTAAAAACGCGTTTTTCGTTGTTCTGAATCATTATAAACATTAATTTTTTGGTGATAAAAAAATATTTGATTTTTGGACTTAGAAAATTTTGCTAATCGATCATGAGGGCGATCCATGCGGGGCCCCTACGGTGCCCCTCATGGATTCGCCATATGGATCAGCCCTCATGGGCCCCCGCCGGGGGCCCCGAACTCTTGAGGGCAAGATCGTGGCTTTTTCCACACGGGTATTTTAGAATTTTTATTTTTTGAAAAAATTAAAATTTTCAAAAATCCATACGAGAGAGATTCTGAATAATCATTACTAAAGTGTGGAAAAAAATTGACGATGAAAAATGCTTAAAATTGTGAAAGAAGATAGATAATAATAAATATTATTATTATAGTATAGCCAAATAATAATTTTTTTAAAACTTTAATTTCTAAAATGGCCAAAAATTAAAAGGTTATTTTTTTTGCCATCCTATATACGTTTTTTAGGACCCAAATGATGGAAGAAAAAAATAAAACTTTCTGCGATCGTTAAAATTTTAAAGGACTCAAAATAAAGCTGGTGACTCCCCTTAATACAATTACTGAATTTTTTTTTTTTAGGTTAGGAATGATATTTTTAAAAATCTTCAAATTAACATATTTGAATTAAAAGTCAAATAACGTTGAGAAAAAAAGTTATTTAATAATAATTATTTATTAAAATAATTACTAAATTGTTATTAATTATAAATAATATTAACAAGAACTGAAATTTATAGATTTGATTGGTAATCGCGCATTGTTTTTTTCACTACAATTTTATAAATACACAATTTTAAAAAAAACTGTTTTCAAATCGGATAATTAAAAAAATATTTTTGACTACATTGAATCCGCCATATTAAATTTTGAAAATCAGACATCAGATTCGTAATCAGAAACTACAAAAACCGCCAAGTAATAAGTTTCAAGTAAATTTAATCGACTCCTTAATTTTTTTCATCCGCCATATTGGACCCGCCATTTTGAATTTAAAATTTTTTTCGTTTTTATTTAGAAAGATTTTTCTCTCTGTGGATGTTTTTAATAAAAATTCCTGCAATACTGTTCCATGTTATAACTTTATTTGGATTTTTTTTTACAAAAATGAATTATGAATAATTGGAATGATAAGAAACTTATAATTGATGGATAATATTGTTTGAAAAATAAAAATTCAAAAACAGTGTAGTATAGGATTGTTTCTGCAGACTTGCTCTTGGCGACAAGGTACAATTGAATAGATGTTTTCTAAGGGACATGATAATGAATTTTGATTACAATCGAAACATGAACAATGTGGAGTAATTTGTAAACAAGATGAAATATTTTTTTCAAAAATTCCAACAGTTATGGGTCCAGCGTTACGTCTTCTTAACATTTTTATTCTATCAGCTTCAATACTTGTTATTTTTGTATTATTAAATTTTTCCCTTATTTTACCTTCATTTTCTCGTTTTTCTTCATTTCTTCTCATCGAATATTTTTTCCTATCAATTCTATTCGTTTCTATAATTTCACCTATTTTTACAGTTTCCTTACTTTTTTCATCATCATCATCATTTTTTCTCTGCGTAAAAGCCTTTTCTTTTTCTCTTCTATTTTTTTTATCCATTTTTCTTGTTCTTTCCACATTTTCTATTTTATCTCTTATCCCTCTTTTTTCCACTTTCTCTGACTTGTCATCTTTTTCTGCTTTATTTTGTTTCTTTAACATTTCTTTATTATCAATTTTTTTCGTTTTTTCTGTTTTATTGAAATTTTCAATTTTCTCATTGTTTTCCGTATCACTTATTTTATTTGTCTTCTTTGATTTTTCCATTTTATCAATTTTCTTGGATTTGTTTACATTGCCTGTTTCTTCTGCTTCATCATTATTTTCGCCACTGGATCTCGAGTGTTTCTTCTTTTTTTTCTTCTTTACATTTTGTTTGTGATCCCCCTGAAAGTAAAATGGAACTCGTTCAGATGAAGAGTAAATTTTTGATAAAAATAAATCCTTACAGAAATTTTTTAAATATATTGCATGCGATTAAGCTCTAAAATTGATTTGCTCGAATTTTCATTTAAGATATATTTATTTATTTGGCGAATTTTCATTTTTCGAATTAGAATTTGACTGAATTTCTTTTCAAACGAATATTCTACATTTGTTCCAATTTTTATTTGTATGAATTGTTATTTAATAGAATTGTTAAAACGCCGAATTTCCATTTGTCCGGAATTGAAAATGTCCGATAAATCATCGATAGAAAAATTTTGGCATCAATATTTTAAAATCCACCAATTAAAAATTATCAAGTAAATTGTAATTGGTTAATTTTAAAATTCGCGTCGATTATTTGTCGGAATATTTTTGAATTTCGGATAAATAGAAATTTGTTGTTTTAAAAATTTGGTCATTAAAAAATTCGGACAAATGTAAATTCGGTAAATTGGAAATTCTGACATTTAAAAAATTCGAATCATTTGAAAATCTATTAAATGAGAATTTTGTTAAATTGACATTTAGTTAAATTAGAATTTTTAAAATAAATTCTGTAAAATAAAAATTCCACTTTTTAAGAATTCCGGCAAATGTAAATGCGAACAAATGGAAAATTCAGGTACAAAAGAATTTTAATTAAAAGAATTATAATTATAATTTTGTAAAATCTAAATTCAATGAAATAGAAATTCTTTAAAATAAAAATTCGTCTAAGTAACAATTCTGTAATATAAAAAATCGATTAAATTGAATTCCCTTAACAAAATAATCATCTTATGTTTATATTAATTAATTGTACACCATAAAGAATAATTACTTATAACTATACTTTTGTACTGATGTCAGCGTGATTAATGATTTTATTTTGATTATCAGAAATTCCTTTGTCTGCGATTTGAATTTTATCCTCGTCATTTTTCTTTTTTGTTTGATCATTTGTTACATTCATATTGTTATTGGACATGTGTATTTTTTGTTGAACTAATTTCACATTACTTTGAGTTTGACAATCGCATTGAAGATTCTGTGGCTTCATTGGTGGAATAATAGTAACACTACCCCAACAGTCGGCCTCAATTTCCTCGGCTTTTAGTTCACGGCATTGATATGGATACTTCTCATTAGTCTCCTCTTGAGCGTAAAAGCCTTTTGTAATTGTTGTCGGTGTTACAATTTCAGTTATTATAGATTTTCCAAAATAACTTAATCTTATGTAAAGGTCAATATGCGATCCACTCTCCTCTGAATTCTCATTAAGTACTGAGAAACCTCCTTTCATGGACCTTCATTATATGAAATTTCAAAATTAATTTCGATATTGCACAAAGTCAGCCATTTAAGAGCGTCAATTTTGTCAAATTATTATTAGAGGAGATGATTTGATATTTCAATATCGTAATTTAGTGATGTAATTTTAATTAGATTTATCAAAATAATTCAAGAAAATTTGTTTTAACATACATTTAAATAATTTAGTAAAGAGCGTGTAATCAATCTTATTTCTCATTTAAATCAATAAATATGTATTTACACCCAACAATACAGCAGACAAAACATTTTCAAACCTGGGGTAAAAACCAAGTTTTCAGGGTCGATGAAACTAAATCCGCTGTTCATTTTATCCCATCGAGTCATGATTTTAATAAAATCTCAAAAAACCTTCACAGGAACACAAAAAATAGAAAAATAATCCAACCCTGGGATTTAGGGGTTGGTGAAACCAAATCCGCTGTTCATTTTACCCCCGTTACGTTTTAGATTATGACATAACCTCAAAAAAAAACCTTAACATGAACAAAAAAGAGAAAAATAAAAAAAATTTAAACCCTGGGATTCAGAACATGTTTATTATATGTTTTTGGGAAGGCTGAAACCAAATTCGCTGTCAATTATATTCCATCACGTTTAGATTATGACATAACCTCAAAAAAACCTTCACAGAAACGCAAAAAAATGGAAAAATAATTTAACCCTGGTATTCAGATCATGTTTATTATAGGTTATTTGAGTTGCTAAAACCGAATCGCTGTCTATATTACCCCATCATGTAAAAAAAACCGAATCCGCTATCAATTTTACCCCATCACATCTGGATTATGACTTAACCTTAAAAAAACCTTCACAGAAATACAAAAAATAGTGAAATAATTCAATCTTGGTATTTAGATCATGTTTATTATTTGTTTTTTTGAGTCGCTAAAGCCGAAGCCGCTGTCTATTTTACCCCATTACTTCAATATAATTACATAACCTCAAAAAACCTTTACAAGAACACAAAAAAAAGAAAAACAATCCAACCATGTGATTCAGGCAATGTTTATTTTAAGTTTATCGTGCTCCAGTTAAGGTTTTTTGAAAATATATTAAAATCCTGATGTGATGGGGTAAAATAGACAACGGATTCAATTTCAACGACTTCAAAAACATATATAACAAACATAATCTGAATCCCAGGGTTGAATTATTTTTTATTTTGATATTTTTTATGTCCCGGTAAAATTTTTTTGGAGGTTATATCAAAATTCTGACTTTATGGAGTAATATTAACAGTTTATTCGAATTCAGGCACCACAAAAACGTTTCGACATCTCACGTACGTTATATTCAAGAAACCTGAAAAAAACTTCTACGAATTTAAGTAGGTCATGTAATTGAAATTTTATAATAATAATAATAATATATTGATTTATAAAAAAAGTTTCTTGCAAAATGGAAAATCCTAACTTGATAATCTCTCATCTAGATAATATCAAATATATATATAATATCGAAGCTAGATAATATCGAACCTATATAATATCGAACCTATATAATATCGAACCTAGATAATATCGAATCTAGATAATATCGAGTCTAGATAATCTCTCATCTAGATAATATCGAATCTATATAATATCGAATCTAGATAATATCGAGTCTAGATAATTTCTCATCTAGATAATATCGAATCTATATAATATCGAAGCTAGATAATATCGAACCTATATAATATCGAACCTAGATAATATCGAACCTAGATAATATCGAATCTAGATAATATCGAATCTAGATAATATCGAATCTAGATAATATCGAGTCTAGATAATCTCTCATCTAGATAATTTCTCATCTAGATAATATCAAACCTATATAATATCGTGTCTAGATAATCTCTCATCTAGATAATATCGAACCTATATAATATCGAACCTAGATAATATCGAATCTAGATAATATCTCATCTAGATAATATCTCATCTAGATAATATCTCATCTAGATAATATCTCATCTAGATAATATCTCATCTAGATAATATCTCATCTAGATAATATCTCATCTAGATAATATCTCATCTAGATAATATCTCATCTAGATAATATCTCATCTAGATAATATCTCATCTAGATAATATCTCATCTAGATAATATCTCATCTAGATAATATCTAATCTAGATAATATCGTGTCTAGATAATCTCTTATCTAGATAATATACAACCTATATAATATCGAACCTAGATAATATCTAATCTAGATAATATCGAGTCTAGATAATCTCTCATCTAGATAATTTTTTATCTATATAATATCGAATGTAGATAATATCGAGTCTAGATAATCTCTCATCTAGATAATTTCTCATCTATATAATATCGAATGTAGATAATATCGAGTCTAGATAATATCTCATCTATTTAATATCGAATGTAGATAATACCGAGTCTAGATAATCTCTCATCTAGATAATATCTCATCTAGATAATATCTCATCTAGATAATATCTCTTCTAGATAATATCTTATCTAGATAATATCGAGTCTAGATAATATCGAGTCTAGATAATATCGAGTCTAGATAATATCTCATCTAGATAGTCTCTCATCTAGATAATTTCTAATCTTGATTATTTTATCTACATTATCTTATCTGGATTATCTTATTTCAATCTATCATTCCCAAATAATATTTTATTCATAATTTTATTTGTTTAAAACAATATTAACTTTAGTTTTTTTTTTAATTAAAAATAAATGCTTTTGCACTTACCGTGAAATGGGTTCGCGTTGATGAAAATGTAAAAATTGAGCAAGTTCTTTACGTTCTTTTAATTCGTTTATAATGCCATTGAAAAGATTGTCGAGTTTAACGATAACAAAACCAATATTTTGTGATGGATTCATCTCAAAATATCGTGAAATATCTTTACTGATGTGCATTTGTAGATCAACATTTTTCATTGAATTTTCTAAACTCGCCTCAGGCAATGAAAACAGAATTGATTTTCCACCATGGAATGGTTCACTCTCGTAATTTGATCCTCTGTATTGACGGTAATCACTGCGTTGTGGATACAATGCCGTCCATTCGTCATCCAACAATCGAAACATAACAGTCGTCTTTTTTAATATTGCGCTGTCGAAAACATTTGTTCTTGGCACGTAAAGCTGTAAAAGAAAAAGAAAAGAAAATTTATCTCTGGTAATTTAATTTTTATTTACTTGTTCTTCAAAGAAGAATTTTTCTCCCATTTTCTTTTATTACTTTTTATCGTTTTTATTTATTTTTCTTTTTTTTATATTATTTCAATGAATTTTATTTTCTATAACTAATTATTTTGATTGCTTTAAGTAAAACTTTTTAAAAAATTATTATTTTATCTATTTTTATTTTTTTTTTTAATAAAAAAAATTTGCAAATTAATTAATTATTAATTAATTTTTTAAAGAAATTATTATTTTATTTTTTTAAACAAGAAAATAATTTTTAATTAATATTATTTTCTTTTTATAAGCTTGTAAATTGGGGTTAGAAAGTAATTTAAAAAATAATTGATCAATTTATTATCAAAAAATATATTTTTTTAAATTTCCTTTCTTATTATTTTTTTATTGATTCATTTTTTTTTATTTAGTAGTATTTAATTGAAGTTCTATTTACCAAAATTTTTTATGTTTATTTTACTTAAAGATTTTTTTGTGGCCAAAAAAAAAATGAAAAATTCTTGACTGTAATGAAAGGAATAAAACATTATTATGTAAAATTTTGTATTTCCTACGCTAGCAGAAATTTGTAAGAGAATAATGCATTTTTTTTTCTTTTTTTTTTGTATGTTTTGAAACGCGGTTTTATTCAAACAAAATACCTTCTGTATTCGTTAGTGAGAATGTGAGGAAAATATTTTAATAACGAAATAAAGAGAGCTTTCTTTTTGTTTACAATTTTTCTAACCTTAATTTACCTAGTTTAACGGATAATGAAGAATTGTATAAAAATAGAGAGGAAAAAAGAGTTTTTGTTTTTTTTTTTTGGGAAATTTTTTTTCTACATTTTGAATTTTTTTTTTTTTATTTATAAAATAAACTGTTAAATGTTGATTTTCGTGCAAAATTACCTTTTCCACTGCCACTTCCAACATCATGATATGCAAATCGTGCGAAACAATTAAAGATGACATTTTTTTTTAAATTACTTTTTAAGGTTTCATTTAAATTCGAAAAATAATTGTTGCATTTTTAAGGCTATTTTATTTTGAAATTAGGAAATAATTACATTTTTACAAACCATTCGTTGGAATGGTTTGTAAATTAACGACAATTTTTAACCATGTTTTGTGAATTTGACATTATTTTTTGTTTGATGCTCTTTTTTTAACAAATCGATAAATTTTTCAAATTTTTTTTTTTTATTTTATTTATTATCAAAAAAAAAACTTTATTTAGTGAATAAAAAATTAGTTGATATTAATTAATAAATAATTTATTATTTCATTTTTAACAAATATCAAATTCATTGTAATTAATTAATAAAATAAGTTGTCGAAACTTGACGCCATCCTTACATATAGAAACTTTGTTTCAAATTATTTTCATAAATCGAAATACAATCTTTGAATCAGTTTTAATTAACTAAACTTTAACAAGTATAACAGCCTGCGAAAATGCTAACGACCTTAATTAAAAGTATCAATATTCCTAGAGCAAGTTTAAAGTTTAAAATAGGTCGTGGGAAAGGTTTGAATAATAAAAATTCATTAAATTTTTCATTTGCAAAAAAAAAACTTTATAAAAACACATTTTTTTTTTTGAAATCAGAAACATTTTAATGAATGTTAATTATTTAAATTGTTTTAAATATTTTTTTTTGAAAAAGATTTTCTTTATTGAAAAGTGAAAAATAGAAATTATTTTCTATGGTAAAATATTTGTATAATAATAAATAATAATTGCTTTTTTAAAACTGTTATTTAATAAATAAGTAAAAATTAATAAATAACAAATACTATGAAATATAAATTTAAGAGTTCGGGAGTTCCGGATCGCCTAAAAAATTTTTTTTTTAATTCCACTTTTTTTTGTTTAAAAAACGAAAAGAAATGAGATTAAAAATTTTTTTTAGAGAGTCCGGAACAATCAAAAATTACCCTGTATAATATTTACAAATAAAAATAATAATAATAGTAAATAACATGTAAAACGAAATAATCTTATTAGGGTTTATCGTTTTATACTTATTAAATAATAATTATAATGTGAAAAGTGAAAAATGACCAAATGTTAAAACAAGTTCATTGAAGGGAATGGAGGGCAAATATAAAGACGACGTTGAAGGAACAATTAAAATTCAGCGTCTGCAGCAGCTTGTCGAATAAGAGGGAAGAAAATCGAGAAGCAATAACTACGTGCACCACTGGGCACCCGCAATTATTTTTCTTTCCTTAACGGATACGAAACTCAAGAACTCCACTTCATCGAACACTTCACCGTATAACCGGTAACGAAAGAAATTAAACCAGCGAAATGCATCGTTGCGCGAAACTCCCTTTAAACGCTTTGAAAAAAGAAAAAAAAATACTCGCGCGCTGAAATATCAACTTTCCAAGAAGCAATTTAGTAATTGGAACGGAAAATAGTTTTATATACTTCCGTCGTAATACATTAAAGTCAATCAAGAAAAAAAAATTGAAGTTCGAAACATTCATATGAAAAGAGAATTGTTGAAAAATCCATTTTTTTCTAAAGCTAATTATGAATTTGAAAATTTAGATTTTATTTCTGTTTGTAAATGGCGCGGTTGTGAAAAGTCCGAGTGGGTAATGTAGAATTGGAGGAGGGAGATAGAATTGACTCAAGGTCAAATTCTCCGGCGGGAAGAGAACGGCGCATCTTTCGTGCGTCGATTTTCTCCCCACTACTACGCGTTCTCCCACTCCAAACTGGCCCGATATAAATAGGATGCTCGCTTGAAAACTTGCCACTCTTCCTACTGCCAAACCTCGCTACGCATCTACTGTCTACTAAAACTACTGTTTACTTTAAAAAAAATTTCTTTTACGTGTTTATTTTTTTTAGAAGGAATTTTGTGTGTTATGTCCGTAGATTTTTTTTTCTTTTCTATTTATACATATATTGAACCCTTCTTAAATTATAAACCTGAAAGCAAGGTAAATATTTGTAAAAAATATTAAAGAAGTAAGTCTATTAAAAATTCTATTTTCTTTTCACAATTCTACAAGAATAATTGAATCGTGAATTTCACAAAAGGGCTCAACTCGAAAAAGCATAACTATCATTTTCGCATAACAATTGATAGTGAAAATGATTCTTACGGTTTTTAGAGTTGAGAGCCCTTTTCAAAAATAGTTGTTAATTTTATTTCTTAAAAATTTGTAAACCTATTGTTTTATTTAATATAATTCAATAAAAATATTTACAATTACAAATTTTACCATTAAATTATTTAACAGTAATTATTTTCTAAAAAGGAAAGATAAAATTTTTCCATTATTTGATCTCTGTATCATCATCATTAGCTTTATAACCCCTCTTTCACAATTTCAGAAAGAATGAATGGATCCATTAAGAATCTTCAAAAAAAAGAGAAAGTACAGCAGATATTGTAAAATCCAAAAAGATTTAAAGAAAGAAAAGTCATCTCATGTAAGACTTAGACGCTATATATATAGATATAGGGAGTGAAACTTGTGGTAGGGGGAAGGGAAGGAATTCTAAATTCCCATTGGTGGTGCAGTCAAGACTAAATCTGCCACTTTAAATCAACTCGAAACTGATCTCTCTTTCTCGCATAATCCTCGAGATTCCACAGAGCGTAGAATCCTGAAAATGAAACTCGTCGCGTTTCCTCTGCACTGCCGTGGGCAAAAGTATAGGGATATATATAGGGATCTAAGAATTTAGTGGTCAGAATTTCAAGAGCAGAAGGGTGGAAAAAAAACACGAGGGGTTCTGTTGTTAAAATTCGCGGGGAAAAAAAGTATACCGTCAACCGGGACCTTAGAAGCAAAAAATTATAGATTATATTTTAAAATTTTGAAGTGAAAATACACAAAGAGGATTAAATTTTATTGCAAACCAATGACAAGTCCAACATGTGAAATGTAAACAAACATGAAATGTAAACAAACCATGCACATTTTTTCGCGCTTCTCATTTGCGTAGAAAATAAAAATTTGTCGTTTTCTTTATGAAAATGGTAAATTAATGTATTAAAGTTGGTTACTATACTTTATTTAACTAATTATATGAAAAAATAAGTACAATTATAATGAAATGAAAAGTGCACTGAATTAGCAATTTGTCGTTTTCTTTGTGAAAATGGTAAATTTATATATTAGACTAGGTAACTATACTTTATTGAACTAATTATGTGAACAAATAAGTATAATTATAATGAAATAAAAAGTACACTGAAATATGAATTTTTTCAAGGTTACGAAAAATTTAGGCATTCGAGTATATCTGAGGCACGGACGTTGAGGACCTAGGTGGGAGAAAGTGAGAGAAGGGGTAAAATTTCAGAATTTTACCCTTTCCAAGATGTGACCGTCCAATGGCTCAACTCTTTCTCCCACCTAGGCGCTCAACGTCCGTGCCTCAGATATACTCAAATGGTTTTTTTTTCGAAACCTTGAAAAAATTGCTAATTCAGTGCACTTTTCATTTCATTATAATTGTACTTATTTTTTCATATAATTTGTTAAATAAAGTATAGTAACCAACTTTAATACATTAATTTACCATTTTCATAAAGAAAACGACAAATTTTTATTTTCTACGCAAATGAGAAGCGCGAAAAAATGTGCATGGTTTGTTTACATTTCATGTTTGTTTACATTTCACATGTTGGACTTGCCCTTAAGTCTTTTCTATATTTAAAATAATAAAAACAGATTTTTATGTTGCTGAAACGAAAAAAAAACTTTTAATCGAGGTAAAACTGTCGTAAACATAACCTATATAATTTACTTCCGTCTAAGGTACCTTTCTTCGCGATACATTTTTTTCTAATTTTTAAAATCAAATTTATACTAATAACATTAGTTTTTTTTTGCCAAATTGTCGCACTACAATATTACAACTAAGTGTCAAATTTTAATATTTCAAAATTAATATTTTCCAAATTAAAAAAATAGCTTGTACCAGAATAG